TTCCTTCTGGTAGCATGGGGAGAGGACCTGGCTTTTCTCTGGATCCCTCCCTGGCGTCAGCCAAGAGACTTTCCTGGCTTATTCTGTTCTCCACTGTCAGGGGCCTGTTACTTCCTGCTTCGTCTCTCAGTTTGGGGCTGAGAACATGCTCCCCATCCTACCTTTTGTTGTTGTTGTTGTTGTTGTTTTTGAGACAAGTCTCACTCTGTCACCCAGGCTGGAGTGCAGTGTCATGATCTCAGCTCACTGCAACCTCTGCCTCCTGGGTTCAAGCAGTTCTTCTGCCTCAGCCTCCCAAGTAGCTGGGATTACAGGCATGCACCACTGTACCTGGCTAATTTTTATAGTTTTTGTAGCAATGGGGATTGGGGGTTTCACCATGTTGGCCAGCCTGGTCTTGAACTCCTGAACTTAGGTAATCCGCCCTCCTCGGCCTCCCAAAGTGCGAGGATTACAGATGTGAGCCACCACACCTTGCCTTTTTGTTTATTTATTTATGAGACAGGGTCTCGCTCTGTTGCGGGGTCTGGAGTGCAGTGGCACAGTCACAGGTCACTGCAGCCTTGACTTCCCAGGCTCAAGTGATCCTCACACCTCAACCTCCCAAGTAGCTGGGACTACGGGTGCATGCCACCATACCTGGCTAATTTTTGTAGTTTTTATAGAAATGGTGATCTCACTATCTTGCCCAGGCTGGTCTTAAACTCCTGGACTCAAGTGATCCTCCTGCCTTTGCCACCCAGAGTGCTGGTATTATAGGCAAGAGTCACCATACCCAGCTTCCTATTCTTCTTTTTTCTCCCAGGCTTTTCGCTGGTCACAACTCCTTGGAAACCTTAGGTGTTCCAGCCTGAAAGGAGGCTGTGTCTTGTTTTTTTTTTTAATGAGGACAACATGATGTAGCAGGAGGAATAAAACACACTTGGAGTCAGGATACCTAGAGTTATCCTGATGCTGCTTTTTTTTTTTTTTTTTTTTTTTCTTTTTTCTTTTTTTTTTTTTTTTTTGCTGTGAGACCTTGAGCAAATCACTTGCCTTTTAATTTTGGTAAGAATGGTGGGAATTTAGTGTATCTGATGTGTAGTTTGCATTATGTTACATCTGATGTTCCTCACTGCTTTAACATTATATGGATGATCACATATTTCAGAAGGGGATTTGCAAATTATTAGGTTCTTAAAAGGTAGGAACGTGATTTTTTACGTAGAATATGCAAATTTTTACACATGGTTGAACAAGAAACTCCTTAGAATTAAGATGTTTATAGTTGGGTGTGTTATGAATAGCTGACATAGTCTCAGTGTATTACTATAAAATGCCACCATTTCTGAAAAGGTGGTAGCATGTCATATATAAATACAATACATACATATTTTTTTGAGATGGAGTCTTGGTCTGTTGCCCAGGCTGGAGTGCAGTGGTCCGATCTCTACTCATTGCAACCTCTGCCTCCTGGGTTCAAGTGATTCCTGCCTCAGCATCCTGAGTACTAGAATTACAGGCACACGCCACCACACCTGGCTAATTTTTGTATTTTTAGTGGAGTTGGGGTTTCACCATGTTGGTCAGGCTGGTCTCAAACTCCTGACCTTGTGATCTGCCTGCCTTGGCCTCCCAAAGTGCTGGGATTACAGGCTTGAGCTACCATGCCCAGCCATAATACATATATTTTTTAAGAGATCGGTGTCATGCTCTGTCACCCAAGCTGGCTTGCAGTGGCACAGTCAGCTCACTGCTGCCTTGAACTCCTGGGCCCGAGCGATCTTTCCATCTCAGCCTCCCAAGAAGCTGCAACTTGGCAACATGCCTGGCTAATTTTTAAAATTTTTGCAGAGATGGAGTTTTGCTGTGTTGTCCAGGCTGGTCTCAAACTTCTGGCTTGAAGCATTCCTTCTGCCTTGGCCTCCCAAAGTGCTGGGATTACAGGTGTGAGCCACTGCAGCTGGCCCATAAATATATTAACATTATAACTAAAATGTACTCTTTATCTGTTTACTGAAAGTACAGGTTGTCATCCTTTTATTTTTTTATAGGCTAAAACATTTAGTGCTACTAGGAGACAAAAATAATAAAGTAATAAGTAAAAATGCTATATTTAAAATTCCTAAACATTTGCATATCAAAATTTAAATTGTTCATGTCATTTCTTAGGAGAAAATAAAGCAGAAAGAAGATTATTTAAAAGCTATACTCTTGTGATTGAAAATCTGTCTGAAATGTATCAGCTTCTTTTCTTGTCCTAGTTCAAGGTGGTAAGCATAATTAAGCTTTATTGAGTATCTTGCCACAGAGTGAATCATGAATAGTTACATTTACTATGATTTTATCAGTGATCTGTGTGGAAGGTAGGAGATTAAATTAAATGTGTGCAGGCACCAGTCAACGATTTATTAAATATTTTAATGTTTTGCATATTTTCTTTCAAGTAGAACTATGAGCGATAGTATATTGCAGGCTCTAATTTCTTTTTTCTTTTTTCTTTTTTGAGACAGTCTCACTCTGTCACCAGGCGCCAGGCTGGAGTGCAGTGGCACGACCTCGGCTCACTGCAACCTCCGCCTCCCGGGTTCAAGCAATTCTCCTGGCAGGCTCTAATTTCTTTGGTTTCTAATGTTTGACTATATAAAAATATAATCATTGTAAGATGGCAGTATTCATTATGAAATTTAATTTATGCTGCCACTCAAATTGTTAGATTGTGAAATAAGATTGCTTAATGGTGTTCGAAAGATTTGTATACCCGTTGAGATTCTAGATAGCACCCTGACTGATGCCGTAACAGAAAAAGATGCTTGGAGCATTCAGAAGTTATGCCTCAGGGAGGGGCAGTTGGGATTTGTTCCCTGATACCAGGCCCATTCCTTGAATACTTGTGACTGATGAGATTGACTTTGGAGTGGGAGAGAGAAGGAATTTGGGGTGCGGTAGTATCTTGGAAGCTTAAGGAGAGCACCAGGAAGCAAATTATAGGGCAGAAGAGGGATGAGTGCCTTTCAAGAGAGGGTGGGGAGGTTTGGGAAGAGTGAGCCGGTAGTGTAGAGAGTCCTCACACTGTACTGCCTCCCAGCTGTTCCCTTTGCCATCAGATGCTGAGTGATTTGACATTGCAGCCGACCATGGAGGGCAGCATGAGTGATTAGGGAGGCTGCACAGCACTATGGGATTCACATTAGGCAGTCCAGTGTAAGCCAGACTTAAACCAGGCCCACGCAACAAATTTGCCCACTAGCCATTATTCACAATTTACTGAAGTTATCACTGACTGATAAACACAGAGTACCAGCAGGTGGGAGGAAATGTTGTCTAATTTCTATTATTAGCTTGTGCTCCATCTGCTGATTATAAAAGTATCACTGGTTCATTTATTTTAACCTCTCAATTGAAGCTTACTATAGGAAAACAAGTCGTACTAGTTGTGGGAAATCAAATTTAATTTGAATAGCAATTAGTAAATATAATGATACTTTATGCTGAACTATAGTTCAGCATACGTCTATAGTTTATTAAAGAAATGTTGGTTTAACTCAATTGTGGATAATTTTATCATTTTCACTTAGGAAATAATCACAATATGTTAAGTAAATGGTAGATCATTTTTTGCCCCTTCTTCTTCATGACTTTAAGAATGGAAAACATGAATTTTACATTTTTTCCCACTGCATTAGGTTTTTTTAATGATTTACTGTGGTACGTTTTTATTTCAAAACCATTCATGTCTCTGAACCTTTTTGTCCTCAGACTTTTTGCTGGAGTATTTAATAGCAAATATTAAGTATTCCTATAGACTTGTATTTTTGAGAAAAAAGTAGCAGCATGGACAATTTCAGTTAATTTTTTTTTTTTTTTAAACAAAGTACCGTTTTTCACAAGAAACCATAACAAACAGTTGTGGGACTTTGTTAGGACTTGGGTATGTGGCCCAGAAGTCATTGAGGTGTTACTTGGATGAATTCATCATAGCTCAGGGTCTGGTTCTTAGCCTAGGGAGACTCACCCTTTCTAGGTAAACAAACACCAAGGTACCTGATGTGTAAACCAAAACTTCAGTTTATTAACATACAATGAAAAGAATACAACAGCCAAGTGGATTGGATATTCATGTTGGATAGAAGACTAGTGCATTTTTTTCTATTAGAAAAGCTGTATGAGAAGCCATAGTGTGCATGGAAATGGGAGTATAGGGATTGTATTTTGACCAGCAAAAAAGTTTTATTTGGATGAAGTCCAGTTTACCAGTTTTTTTCTTTTGTGGTTCATGCTTTTGATGTCATGTCTAAGAAGTTGTTGCCTAACCCAAGATTATAAAGATATGCACCTACATTTTTTTCTGGAAGTTTTGTAGTTTTATTCCTTACATTTAGGACTGTGGTCTGTTTTGAATTAACTTTTGTATGTGATGCTTGGTACATATGTTAGTTATGTATGAATGTCTACTTGTTCCAGCACTATTTGTTGAAAAGACTGGCCTTTCTTCCACTGATTTACCTTGGCACCTCTGTTAAGTATCTGTTGACCTTATAGTGCTGGGTCTGTCTGGACCCTATTCAGTTCCATTGATCCATGTGTTTAATTTTATGCTATTACCACACCATCTTGATGATGATAGCTTTAAATGTTGCAATCAGATAATGTGAGTCCCAATTTTGTCCTTTTACGTAATTGTTTTGGCTAGTCTATTCCTTTATATTTCCATGTAAATTTTTAAATCAGTTTTTTATCAGTTTCTATAAAAATATTTGCCATGATTTTGACTGTAATTGTGTCAAGTCTAAAGATCAGTTGGGAGGCTGGACACAGTGGCTTACACCTGTAATCCCAACACTTTGGGAAGCCAAGGTGAGTGGATCGCTTGAGCCCAGGAGTTCAAGACCAATCTGGACAACATGGCAAAACCCTGTCTCTACGAAAAAAACACATCTGTAGTCCCAGCTGTTTGGGAGGCTGAGGTGGCAGGGGACTGCTTGAGCCTGGGAAGTGGAGGTTGCAGTGAGCTGAGATTCTGCCACTTGCACTCCAGCCTGGGGGACAGAGCAAGGGAAGACCCTGTCTCAAAAAAAAAGAAAAAGAAAAATCATTTGAGGAAAAATTCACAAGTAATAATATTGAGTCATTTAATCTGTGAACGAAGTATGTATTTAGGTTTCCTTTCATTTCTCTCAGCCGTCTTTACAGGTATTATTATATACAGTTATAGGTGTATTATATAGATTCCTCTCTGGGTTCAAATCATGGTTCTGCCACTTAAGAAGTAACCTTGGGCAGGTTTCTTAGCTTCTGTGAGCCTCTTCTTCCTTGTCTATGAAATAGGGTAATATCTCATTGATTTTGTCTAAGGGTTAAGTGAATTGATGTATGTTAAAGGCCTAATGTTATGCCTGGCAAAAAGTTTACTGCACAGTCCAAGTTAGTTCTTGTCATGATTATCACCATTGTCATCTTTACCATCAAGTAACGATGGCCTGTTGCACCCACCTCTGCCAAGTTATTCTTGCCCACAACCAGACAGTTAGTAGCAGCTGCTCAGGGCTCCCTTTATGATCAGCATGGCTGATGAACACTGCCAAACGCTTGCTCTTAGGGGCTGTCTTTTCTCTATGCCCCACTGCCATTCTCCAGCTGTAGCTGTTTACACATTCTTCCTTTGGATTATGTTAATACCATTGATTATGTTAATACCATTGTTAATACCACAGCTTTCCTTTGCATTTAGTTCAGTCTTCCTTTGATTTTTCCAATATTGCTTTCTGATTTTGCTTGGAAAAGTTTGCCCTAACTTTTTGTCTGTCACTGTCTGAATCTCTCCTACTATGTGTTTATGAGTTTAATTTTCAGAGTTTTGGGCTAGCTCATAATCACCCCATTTTCCACTTGAGTATTTTGTAGATTGGGCAGTAACTTAAGTTTATTAAAATAAAGTGCTTACACAGAATATGTATTTAAAAATTTTTCTTCATTTATGGGAAAGTGGGAGAGAAAACAGGATTTTTATTTAAAACTTTTTAGAAGGTGAGATGTGAAAATAATTTGCTATTGACTAAATCAGATTGTTGTTACACTGTTAGTCTTATGGATTCAGAAAGTCCATTGTTTTGAAATCAGAACTTTGTCACTAACCCCATCCCGATGAGGTTTTCAAGTCAGCACTCTCAGGGTCCTTCAGGGAAATCAAAGCGATTTCTCATGGGAGGATTTGGGACATCTGTGTCTATGTGGTGTCTGCATTTTTGTACAGTCATGATTTAACTTCAGAAAGAGCCTGTATTTGGGACTAAATATTCTACTCTTTTCTGAATCATCAAATTATCATTACATTATATTCAGTATTGGTTTTAGAACAAAATATGCCGCTTCCCAACTGTTTAAATCTGGGCAAAGCATGTATCTCATCTGCCCATTGGTTTCCTTATCTCTGAAATGGGAATATTTATCTGTTTTGAGGATTAATTTAAGTTATGCTCTTAGAATAGTGCCAGTAGGCACATGGTAGGCACATGTTAGCAGCTTATTCTAGTTATTTCAGGAGTGACATCTCATGCTTGCTTTATTTAATTAAAATTATTTAGCCAAATTGATGGTTTAACCAGTTGTTTTGTTCTTTAATCATTCTGCTTAACTAGGAAATACTGAAGGTTCTTTTTTCCAAAATGTGAATCTGCTTGTTTTTACTTAAGACCTGATGTAACCACTGTAGTAGTTCCGGGATAGTATTTTATCTCCATGGTGATATTAATTTAAATTTGGGGTAATAGTAAGTTCGGTTTTATTTTTTAAGATAACATGGAAATTTTGTCTTCCAGTAGTGAATGTGATTTTCTAAAGACCTTGTATTTTAAATTGTTTCTACATAAACTAACTCAGTCATAAGGAAGGTATTTGATTTGCTGACAGTCACGTAGGAAATCACGACTCTTGGCTGCATCATTTGTTTCCCCAGTCCCGGATGATTCAGTTTCCTTAGAAACTGCATGATGTGCATGATTTATGAATTATGTCTCAAGTTAGGTTGAGAACTCAGTTGTTTAGACCTTGTTTTAAAGACAAAAATAATCTGAGTAATATTAATGAATAATGATGATTTGTAGAGTAAGTATATATTTATAAAATGTTTAAAATTAAATATGAAATAAAAAATATGGAAATGATCTTTATATAATCAAAACAGTCATAATTTTGTGCCCTAAAGGAAATTTAATGAAGAATTCCGAGGTAAAAGGCATATAACTTTTACTTCTCATAAAGTGAATTCAAAATCACTTAAGCAACCTCAGCTTGAAATGATACTACAGTAGCAAAACTTGCTGATTCTACTTTTTATCAATCAGTCATGGGTGAGAAGTGTTCTTGTTTGTAAGGGATTACTGATAATTATTATCAACAGAATAAAGGCTTACCCTAACAAGATCTCAGGAGGATTACAGTTTGGTTTAATACAGTTATGTTCATTTCCTCTGTGGAAATGTATTTAATGGAGCTACTTTAGTATGGTCGTTAGAGCATCGTCTCTTCTATGATGTGATCTTAAAAAAATGTACTATTGCAGTGGAATTTTAGGTAAATCTGTATTGAGCTTCAGCAGATTTGAATTGTAAAAAGAAATTAAGATGTATTAAGATTTCCTTGGAGCAAGCAATGTAATATTTCATGTTATTTCTGTCTCTTTAAATCAGTATATAGTATCAATAATAAATTTTAATAATATCAAAACAGTTATCTATGTGAAACTAGGGTCATAATTATCTTAAAATTTTTTAGCATTTATTTTTAGTCTTATTTAATGACATCTTTTCCTAGAACTGTATTTCAAAGTCATTGCAATAACCTGGTTTTCAGAATTTGCAAATTGTCTAAATCTTCTGATTGTGGAGTCACAGATGATCTGTCTGATTACCATGCATTCAATCCTTACGGTAAAAATCTAATTGTAGTTGGAGCCATGGGGTGTTTTACTAATTATGTAATATATACACCTTGGTGTATCCTGCATCTTGGTAGTTTGATTTTGCAAAGGAAATCTATGATTTAAACAGTAAAGATACCCAGTTAAATTGTCAACAATTTGGAAGACTGAATTTGGTCATATGTTTGTTATTGAGGACTTTAGATTCAGTGAAATGATGTCATGACCCTTGACCTTTGTTCTTTGCTTACATTTATGTGATGGAAAAGCTGCCTTCATTTCTAGCACTGTAATTCTCATTTTTGGAGATTTGGTTACAAATAAATTGTATCTGTGCTTTTCAGATTTTTCCATGAACTATAGAAATTCCTATGGCACTGGCTCTTCGGGAGTTGTTTAAGCTTTAACATAAGGCATCTTAGTATAATGTAAAAGGTCAGGGTCACCACAGTATTAAAGTATTTGAACTCTTGGTCTGTCGGGATGCGAGTTGACTTTGTTGGCCAGCTTGGTCTGCTTGTAAGATTCATATTCGGGGTTGTGGGAGTTGGAAAAGTGTCTCCTCATATCTTTCTTACTGAAAGGGAGCTCTGCCTCTGGCTGTGCAGAAAATGATTGCATGAAAAATTTAATAATTATGTCAAAAGAAAATGGTGGTGGTTAGGTTAAATAGAAGTGCTTGTACTCACCTTGTTCTGTTAAAGGCTATCCTATTTTTCTTTTTCATATTTTCAGTCTTCTTAACACTTAAGAAACTGAAGGTGTATTTAATCAATAGTGTCACTACTATAGATATTAAGAAAGAAAAAAACACTACCTATGGAAAACTAAGCAAAGTATCAAGTAAGATTGCAGCATAAATTTAAAAAGTGACTTCCCAAGGAGTAGGCTACATCCAAACACTTGGCTCATATTGTTGCCCTTGTTCTAGAGTTAATGGTAGGTATGCTATAGTGTTTTAGGAGCCCAAGGGCTTTACAGTATTGGTTCTGCCAGTTAACTTCTCTGAGATTGACTTTCCTCACCTGAAAAATATGGATAACATCCATTTACCTGATTTTTGCAAGAATCAAATGGGATGATTTACGTAAAGCGTTTAGCTCAATGCTTAACACATTAAAAACAGCCCCCAAATGGCAGCTATTATTGCATAGATTTTTATCTCAGCTACGTATTTTGGATTATTTGTCAGTACTGTACTATCTTTTAATGTATGATATTCTTTCTGTGTTCTGGGCCTTCTTAAAGTATAATGATTTCCCGTTTCTCAAATTGAATTTGACCTTTTCAAAAGACTGGAATTTACTGAAGACAAGGAATTATCCAGTGCTTTATGAATGGGGATGTTTATATTGGATTGGCTGGCTGCCAGGTGGCAAACAACATTCAAAAGCAGACATAAATTTTTCCCTTCCAAGAGGCCACATGGTGCTTCTTTCCTGCGTCAGGCTCCCATGATTATCAATGGGTGTAATGTGTATAGAGCAAGGGAAAGGTCTTGCTACTAAAAAGTAGGGCACTGTGCTATATCAGATAAATTAGTACGTTCCCATGAGCTCATGCTTTGTCCTAAAAGATGTCTTTGTCTTGAGGTCCTGTTAGAATCTAGCTAGTAGTTAAGAGTCAGTATTTAATATAATTCTCAGTGGTTGAATCCTACTAGGATGTTCATAGTTTGTAAAAAAAAAACAACAGCAACAACAAAAAACCAAAACCAAAAAACCTAGTAGTATTAAAGCCCAAACAAAAATATTTATTAAAATCTTACATGCTACACTTTGTTAAAGTGTTACTGACTGACTTTCCTGTTACCAAATTTAAAAGGTTGACTTACATTTTTTCCCTAAGTTTTAAGAAAAGTGGTGCTTAAATTTATAGCTAAGAAAATTTTTGCTCATTGTCCATGGATATCAGAAAATGTAATTTTGATTGTTTATAGAATTATATTATAAAATTTAAATGGGGTGCTCATGTTGTCAATTCCATGTCATCATTCATTCTCCTTATAATGCTCAGTTTTCAAGCCTGTTTTCAGATTATTCCTAAAATGTAAAAATTAAATAGATGAATGAAAAAACAAATAAGAAGTAGAAATGGTAGTAGATATTAAGGAAGTAGAAATTGGCTTAAATTTCTCCCTTAATAACTATTATGTGGACAGCTGAGCATGGTGGCTCATGCCTGTAATCCCAGCACTTTCGGAGGCCAAGGTGGGCAGATCACCTGAGATCAGGCATTCAAGACCAGCCTGGCCAACATGGCGAAACCCCTCCTATACCAAAAATACAAAAATTAGCTTTATGTGGTGGCACGTGCCTGTAATCCCAGCTACTCAGGAGGCTGAGTCAGGAGAATTGCTTGAACCTGGGGGGTGGAGGTTGCAGTAAGCTGAGATCATGCCCTTGTGCTCCAGTTTTGGTGACAGAGCAAGACTCTGTCTAAAAAAAAAGTATTATATGACTTTTATTAATAAGATTAGAACATTAAATAAATTTTACATTATCATTTCTTTAGTCTTACATTATGAGTTTTTCCTTAGAGCTTCTCTAACATCTTTTTATATGTAAATCCTTTATGAACATGTCAGGAGTCTTTGGGTTCTCCATGTAATTATAAAGATGAAGTTGTACATTTGGTGGGGTGTGGGGGTGGGGAAGATAATTTTAATTCTCTCTGGACATTTTATAAGAGAAGACATTTCTGATCCTTGACTAGCTTGTGAATAATATACATTAAACAAATATATACTCCCAGTATGAAAACAGTTTATAGGACCCTTTCATATTATTATCTTATTAGATATTCTCAGATAGTGGTATTTCCCCATTCTATAGCAAACAGACCTGAGGATGAGAGAAGTTAAACGTTTTGCTTAAGTTTATACAAATGACAGTCCTTAAACAAGTATCTCCTGAGTGTAAGTGAAAAACAGCCTTTGAGACTGGGGAGATAAGACAACTAAATGCATTGGATGCAATCCTAGAACAAAAAGAGGGTATTAATGAAAAATGGGTGAAATCCATATAAAGTCTTGAATTTATGTTTTAAAAAACATGGAAAAGGTTAATAATTCTTTGGGGGAACATAAAAAGTTTGACGACAACCGAACAGATTAAAATTTCGCACGTGTGTGAGTAGATAGGAGTTTTTTTTTTTCCCCCGTGAGACAATGTGGAGTGCATTAGTGTGATCATGGCTTATTGCAGCTTTGACTTCCTGGGATCAGGTGATCCTTCTCCCTCAGCCTCCTGCGTTCCTGGGGCTAACAGGTATGCACCATCATGCCTGGCTAATTTTTTGTATTTTTTGTAGAGATGGGGTTTCACCATGTTGCCCAGGCTGCTCTCTAACTTTTGGGGTCAACCAGTCCTCCCTTCTCAGCCTCCCAAAGTGCTGGGATTATAGGCGTGAGCCACCATGCCTAGCCTTAGATAAGAGTTTTTATTTGTTTATTTTTTTAAATCAAGTTGTTGCTATATCCATGGCGTTGTAACTATTACACTTTTGAAAACGCTTCTCTACAGCTTTTTGAAACTTGCTGAGATTCTTGAATCTTCCACAAGACAAAACTTAATTTTATATTCTAGAGATAGATAGCTTCTTTTTGCTGGGGATATTCTCATCCTGAGATATCAGAGGTGCTGTGGAGATTGAAGATAGGGTTTTTTCATTGTACTGTTGCTTTTAGTAGAGAAACTTCAAAAATGACCTAAATGCTTATCAGTATTATAATAGATAAGTTTTTTTTTTTTTTTTTTTTGAGATGGAATTTTGCTCTTGTTGCCCAGGTTGGAGTGCAATGGCATGATCTCTGCTCACTGCAACCTCTGCCTCCTGGGTTCAAGTGATTTTCCTGCCACAGCCTCCTGAGTAGCTGAGATTATAGGCATGTGCCACCATGCCTGGCTAATATTTTGTATTTTTAGTAGAGATGTGGTTTCTCCATGTTGATCAGGCTGGTCTCAAACTCCTGACCTCATTATCCACCCACCTTGGCCTCCCAAAGTGCTGGGATTACAGGCGTGAGCCACCACGCCTCGCCTGTAAAAGATAAGTTAATGATTGTATAGTTGGGCAGTTATTACTATGTACAGTTAAGAAAATGAACTAGAATTATATCAACTGCGTAATGCAAAAAAATTGTAAGTAAAGTAGGTTGCCAATTAAAAACAAACCTTTGAATACTTTTCTAAAAACTTTAACATTATGCTACATGTACATGATTACAAAATCAAACAGTACAGAAGGATTTATAATGAAAATGAAGTGTTTCAATTCCTCTTCTTCCCTTTCTCTACTTAGTTCCTACAATCTACTGAAATCATGTTTAAGTGTGTCTGGTGGTTACAGGCATACCTTGGAGATACTGTGAGTTCAGTTCCAGACCTCCACAATAAAGCAGGTATTGCAATAAGTCAAGTCAGAGAATTTTTTTGGATTCTTCATACATATAAAATTATGTTTGTACTATACTGTAGTCTGTTACATGCGCAACAGTATTATATCTAAAAGAACAGTATATACACCTTAATTAAAAAGACCTTATTGGCTGGGCACGGTGGCTCATGCCAATCCCAGCATTTTGGGAGGTGGAGGCAGGCAGATCACTTGAGGTCAGGAGTTTGAGACCAGCCTGGCCAACGTGGTGAAACCCCGTCTCTACTAAAAAAATACAAAAATTAGCTGGGCATGGTGACATGTGCCTGTAATCCCAGCTACTTGGGAGGCTGAGGCAGGAGAATTGCTTGAACCCGAGAGGCGGAGGTTGCAGTGAGCAAGGATTGTGCCACTGCACTCCAGCCTAGGCGACAGAGCAAGACTCTGTCTCAAAAACGAAAAATAAATTTAAAAAACACAAAAAAAGCCTTATTTCTAAAAAAAACAAAAACAAACAAAACGCTAAACGTTATCTGAGCCTTCATCGAGCCATAATCTTCATACTGGTGGAAGGTCTTGCTGCGATGTTGATGGCTGTTGACTGATCAGGGTGGTGGTTGCTGAAGATTTAGGTAGCTGTGGCAGTTTCTTAAAATAAGACAACAGTAAAGTTTACCATATCAATTGACTTCTTTTTTCAAAAGTGCAGTGGCACAATCATAGCTCACGCTTAGAACTCCTGGACTCAAGCA